ACACACACACACACACACACACACACACACACACACACACACACACACACACACACACACACGCACACGCACACGCACACACACACACTCTAATGGGGCTCTCCATCTGTCTATGTAAATCAATCCTGACCTTTGCTGAACTCTGGCTGTGCAGTTTGACAGTTAATCACTTGATAAGTGTGTTGTGTTTGTGTGTGTGTGTGTGTGTGTGTGTGTGTGTGTGTGTGTGTGTGTGTGTGTGTGTGTGTGTGTGTGTGTGTGTGTGTGTGTGTGTGTGTGTGTGTGTGTGTGTGTGTGTGTGTGTGTGTGTGTGTGTGTGTGTGTGTGTGTGTGTGTGTGTGTGTGGAATCTATTGTCTCTTGTAGTGTAATTGAGCACAGAAAAACAGCAGGCCACCAAACCATCAGGCTGAATGGAAGGAGCTCCTTAATTGTGAAACATTATAATATACAGTAATATGTTTAGTATAAATACACAATATAATTAATTACTTTAGGTTGTATCTGCTATATTTTTAGTGTGTATGATGTTGTAGTTTTTTTCCCTGAATAATTACACTTATATGGCATTTACACATTGTTGGTTTGGAGTTTGGACTTTTCATGGTATTTGATTGTGAAATATAATTATAAAACACAGTTACAGTGTCTCCTCCTCTTATGTCTTCTAACTTAATAGCTTTTGTGAAATAATCGATAGCAGCTGCTCTAAAAGAAAACTAGGTTATATTTCTGTGTGAACAACATGTCGATATTGGCTGCTTTCGTGCGTGACGCATTTGGTCAATATGTCAATACAGTTTCTAGACAAGATCTTTATATTTGGTGGTGTGGCCTCAGAGGGTCATTATGTCAGTAGGTGGCTGCTTTGCTCCCCTACACACACACAAACACACACAAGCACACACACATGGATTTGAAAAATGAATGCGAATGAATGGACCTGCGGAAGAGGTTAAAATGTCCTTTTCTATTTCCAGTGGCATGCTCAGACAGGAATACTGATGTCAGGTCTCTGAAGGGGATTCAGTTAATAGAGAAGGAGGATGTGGACATCGACTGCAGCTTGAGTTTATTGACAAGGCATCAACAAAACAGTGTTTAGACACAGTGAAGAATACAGCCTGGCATCCCGTCAAATAATGTCACATCAACTTTGAACATTACAGGCAAAGACATTCAGTGTAACACACAGATGTGTACTCTCACATTCACACACAAACACACACACATGTTCTCTGATTAACCTAATCAAACTAATCTTTCAGATTAACACACATTATAAGACGGCCTCTAATCCTCGCCCGTCCTTCTGCAGAGCGAGCTGAGCGGTCATTGAGATAAACAGAAGAGAAGCGGCTGCTCTGTCATTGCGCTGAGTCACACGTCACATGAACACACATGTTTTCAGTGATAGCTCTACCGTTTTGAATGGAGCAAGATATAGGATGTGTTGAGCAAAGGGACAAGTGTGCCAGATCTGTCTCTTGGACCACATTTGTATTAACACGATTGTGATTGTACTGCAATATTAAATGCAATGTTTCATGTTTATCTTCCTTTTAAATCAGACCATTAATTAGAAATAAACTGCTGGTATTCTAAAAGAGACATTCTTTTCGGATTCAAGCCTGCAAACCTGTCCATTAAGACATTTTCTGTACCTGCTGGTGAAAGACTCAACAGATATGATGTGCTCTGTGATAAAGTCCTCAGATAGCATTAAATACTATTTTAAAGTACAGGACTACAGTAACTTAATGTCACTGTATTATAGGAGGCTGCTGCCCTCTTGCCTGCTGATGTGGTATAGCACACAGTGTTGTAACCTACCAGCTGCATTTATGTGAAATCAGACTATTTACAGAAAATAAGTTGATGAATAGAGCAAAATACAACTTTAAAATAAATGGTTTTCAAATAAATAAAGAGCAAAATAGACCCTTTACAAAAGTGTGACATTATATCTCTTTGTTTTAACACCAGGATATTTAAAACATATATTTACAACTTGAACTGTTACCTCCACGACCCGACCACTGATAAGCGGGAGAAGATGGATGGATGGATGAAATGAAAAATACAGACACACACACACACACGCACGCACGCACGCACGCACGCACGCACGCACGCACGCACGCACACACACACACACACACACACACACACACACACACACACACACACATACTTTTGCATTTCAAAGTATTGCTTGTACATACAGTTGAATGTTACTGTGCACTGCTGAATGAGCCAGACTTACAGACATTGTTTGGTATTGATGACTTTGTCAAAATCAGACATGACAAACAATATGACAGATATCCTTTTGCACACCAGACTGTTTGTGTGTGTTTATGTGTGTAGTGGTTGTGTGGTTGTGTGGTTGCACTTGTGTTTGTCTTACATGGAGGTCGATTTGGACAGACAGTCTGCCGTCCCCAGATGTCATCAGAGTGACCAGTAGTCCCATTTTCTGACCTCTGACCTTTCCAGATGGTGACACCCTGGTACCCCCAGCAGTCTGTGTGTGTGTGTGTGTCTGTGTGTGTTTGAGTGTGTTCTCAAGTGTGAAAGGTTTGACAAACTGACTAATGAGGTTTAAATTAATTTAGGCTCTAATCTTATTGCAGAATTTTAGTTTTCTTAACAAAGAAATTCTTGAAAACATGAAATACCCCATAACAGGATCCACAGGAAACAGGAGACAGTGTTACTGTACTCTGGTACTTCAAATCGGTAAAGCAAAGAATATAAGAGTTAAAAGAAAAAGCTTGCCTCAGAGTATTTGGAGCTTTATGTTTTTATCATAATATTTTACAGCAATAAGAATTTTGTACATACAGTACATTAATCAGGCTACGTAAATTAAACCTCTATTTTACAGTAAATTAAGCATAACATTTTCTTTATGTGAGGCACAACTTCATTCACGTTATGTGACTTCAAACAAAAAACACATGTAATTCCTTCATGGAGCATTTTCAAATGTCATATGAGACTGCATTGTTGGGTTTATGTGTTAGTGACAGAATATTGTGTTTTGCAAAAATGTGCACCATTTCTGGCAATGTTATAATTTGTGTTGTATTTAGTTTGAATTACCAAATTCAAAACAGCAAAGAAAACCTGCTCTCCCTCTTCTACACTAATGTATTCATTACCATCATTAACCTTTCTGCTACACAGTCCCCTTATCTAATTATCCCCCTGTTACCACTGAACACACGCACACACGCACACACACACACACACACACACACACAC